AGTGAAATTATAACTATAATAAATATATAATTTCTTATAACTATAAGTTATAAGAAATTATAGTGAAAAATGAAATTATAGTGAGAAGTTGAAAACATGCTCAAACATCTCCAACAATTTTCAATGATGACAGGACATTTCATGGGCTAATAATTTTAGTCCTGAAAATTTGAGTTAGATATTCATGCTGGGATAAATAATTTTGGCCTTCAAGAATTTTATTTAAAAGTTTCAAAATTATAAGTTCCATGATGTTCTAAGGTTGTGATATTCCTATGTGAAAAATTTAACACATATATTTCACAAGTATTGTCTTCATTGTAAGGATATTTAAATAAGGTGCCATCTCCCCAAACTACATCTTTATTATAGAATGATAAACAATGTTCTGCCATTGAAGTAGAGGAGATACGGGAAGGATACAAATCAACTTTCTGTGTATTGGGGATCATTTAAACATATTTATTAAAATCTTGTAGATAAAGTTTTATGAAAGAAGAAACCATAGGTGTTTCAATATACATTTGAAAATGTACTTCACAATTTGCTATAATATTTCATAGAAAATGAGACATCTGATAATTTCTAAACAGAATCATTTAGTTCCATTTCCTTTAAAAAGCTCAATATGATTTCATCTGGAAAATATACAGAGAACTAAAAAACCCAGAAAGTTGATAAAGTATGTTTACTAACAATAGACAATTCATGGAGTAAGTACTGAGCTTTGGACAAAACATCCCATCAAGGAAGTGTAGAGCCAATAAAGTAGCTGGGGGATTCTGTGATAAGGCTGTGGAATGTAGGCTCTTCCCTCTGAAACTTATTATTTTAGAGATACATATTTTAATTCAATACAGTTATTTATTTTCTAGGAAAGGAAGAGAGATCAAGATTAAAACAGGAAATAGAAAATTTTTAGAAAGAGCAGCAAGTGGTGGGTAGAAAGAACAAAGGCAAAAAACCAAGCACAACAACGAAATATGCAAGGGACACAGTCTGAAGAGGTAGATTTAAAGGAATTTGAACTATGTGGGAACAATCTGAGACCTGAGGTTTCTCCGAGAAACCTATACCACAATTAATGGTTTTTCAGTCCATCACACCACATTTAGGAATTTTTGGGGGGCACCAGTATTCCTGGGACCTGCTCCAGAATTGCTGAATCAGACTTCTGGGCATGAGGCACAGAAATCTGTGTTTGATTAGCTCTCCATTTCTGGTGTATATTCATTTTGACTAACATTTTTATTATTGCCCATGGAGCTGTTTACTGTTGATACTCACCAGATGTAGATTGCTCTCAAATATCCTCACCAGAGCCACCACACCAACACAGTGCACAGACAGATTAGATTCTTCTGTCTGGGAAGAACCTCCTGCTCCATGGTTCTGAGAAAACTTCAGTACTTCAGTATCTTTTTCCTTAACCAAATTTAAAATTTGTGGTGGAGTGAATGCCTATTACATTTGATAGCTTTCCAGTCCATATCATGCTTTGCCATTGGACATCTGAATGCTAGCTTATTTTACTTTTGTGAGATGGAGTGTCCCTATGCAGTCAGATGCTCTAGAACTCTCATTATACAGTTTAGCCTAGCTTTACACTTATGATCCTTCTGCCTCAAGTTTCTGACACTGGCTGGAATTATATTCATGGCCACCATACCCTGGTAAGTGATTTAAGATAAAAATAGTTACAATTTTTAAACACAAGCTTATGAATTCATGGTTCTTAATTTCCTTAAAATACCTTGCAATATTCAGACTAAGTACTTGATTTGTAGTCTTCTTAACTATTCTGTATGTCAGGGTACCCCAGCTGCATCCTTAAATATTGTCTTCCCTGTGTATGTTGGTTTTTGGGTTTTTTTTTTTTGTTTGTTTGTTTGTTTAATTTAATGGCAACTGTCTCAGGGCCATTTAAAAATCTGCTATTTAAAATGGTCATAGACATACTAATTAAGGGAGAAGTACATTTTTTTTTTGTTTCTATATTCCCTCACTGTGGTGGTTTGAATAGGAGTGACTCCATTGACTCATACACTTGAATGCGTAGTCATCATGGCGTAGTACCATTTAAGATGATTAGAAAATAGGGCCTTACTGAAGTAGGTATGGCCTTCTTGGAGGAAGCATGTCTTTGGGGTGGGCTATTGAGGTTTCAGAAGCCCAAACCAGGCCCAGCAGTTCTCTCTTCTTCTTGCTGCAGATCTGGATCTAGAACTCCCAACTTCTTTAGCACCTTGTCTGCCTGCCTCCTGCCAAGCTCCTGCCATGACAACAATGGAGTAAACCTCTGAAATTGTAACCCAGCCCCAGTTAAACGCTTTCCTTTATAAAAGTTGCCAAGGTCATGGTGTTTCTTCACAGCAATAGAACACCGACTAAGACACTCAGTGCACTGGTTGCTGCTTACCTAAGGTGATTTCTTCCTTTTGTAGGTATAGCTAACACACTAGGAATTTAACAATTTTATGGTTAACAAAAACATGTTACTCAAATGTAATATCTTATATTCTAGCCTCTTCTCCAGAGCTATAGATACTCAGTGTCTCTACTGTATTTATGGAGCTCACTTTTTTCCCCAGTAATATTTTAACAGAATGGTACAGTCCTATAGATTTCTTGCTTGGTAGGGTATATTTTTTTTTTGGCTTATTTTTACTAGGTAACTATTAAGTAAATGCTTAAGGGGCAGCATTTACATGAATTAAAATAATACAAACTTTGTTCTAGCTTGCTTTCTATTACTATGATAAAATAACCAGGACCAAAATCACTTTAGTAGAGGAAAGAGGAAACTAAAACACATACTTCTATGTTTCCTATAAGTGCTGGGTTTTGGAGAAATATATCCTTAATGTGTGTGTGATTCACTTGTGTTATATTTTTTTAGGCTTCTCATTTGAGAAAAAAAAAAAGAATCTTTCCCTCATCTTTGGAGAGCTTCGCCTATTGCTATATATATAATTTTAAATAGATGAAGGGTCCAACTTAGAGTCTGAGACAATATAAGTAAAATATTTTAGATTAAAAATGCTGTTTGTGTGTGAGAGAGTGGGTGTGAGGAGTACGTGTGCCTATGTATTTGAATATGTATACACAATGTATTTTATTGTCTATCTCAATAAAAAATTTTGTTCTCTGTTGAGGTAAATTTTTGTTCTTTAAATTTTCCTGAATCAGAAATTTGAGTTTATGGGCAATTCAAATTTAAGGGGACTTCAGAGAGTTTCTAGTTCTTTCTCTCTGCTATATAGTTAGAGAAATAAAATCTCAGGAAAATATACAATAAGTCCAAGAAGTCAAAGAAAGTCCAAGAATCCAGGCTCTCTGGTCCTAATTCTGTGACCTGTTGCCTGATGAAGCTTACTGAGTGAATACTAAGTATTTTCCTCATGAAAATGGAGACATCAGAATACTATATTTTTTCTATGTTGTTGATTCTACACATAAAACAAATTAAAATTACATGTTAGATTCAACATTGCCTTTATATCTGGTCACACTTAAAATAACAATTCAAACTACATATAGATAATAGATATAGATATCCCATTTCAAACTCTAGAGGTCTCAAGTATATTTCTTACTACATTTACTAAATCATTCAGGAAACAATCATACCCTGTGCATTGCAGTAACAATTCTTAATAGATTTGGATGGCAATTATCAGAGTAATTTGATTTGTGTGATTGTGTTGTCACCTTGAGAGACTCTAGAACAGAGTGATAAATCCCTGTGCATTCCTAAGAGGGATTACCTTTGTTATGCTAATGTGGAAAAAATCCACGGGGCTATTCTCTGGGACTCAGGGACAATCCTAGACTATAGGAAATGATAGATCTGAATGTGCTCCTCACATCCTGCTTCTTAAATGTGATGCAGGGTGACCAGTTCCTTCAATATACCCTGCCTCCAAGATGGACTGTAACTTGAACACCGAGCCAGAATAAACCCTGTCCCCATAAATTTGTTTTGCCATAGTATTTTGTCAAAGCAACAATAAGAGAAGCCAAGAGAATTGCTAATATAAACTATCATTAATATTCAAATTTATGGTATTTTATAGACTACAGAATTGACATTTCACATCACTTACTTTGGTTATGTTGTAGACATCCTCTGGAAAAAATAAAGGTGCATGTTAAAGAATTAAAGATGGAGTAAGGAATCTGAAGCACCTGAGCATAAGGCACAGAATGGCATAGTATGTGCCATTAACATGTTCTAAAAGTTAGGTTCTTATATCAGAACAAATAGGAGTTTTAGAAAAACTCATATGTTGAAGAATATTTGTACATTGTATAAAGATGTTTTATTGTGAATGGTTTAGTAAAAAGCTGGGTAATAGGTGAGACTTCTGGGCAAAGAGAGGAACTAAGGGGTATGGACAGATGCCAGTGAGACATGAGCATGTTGGAGGTACAGATGGGACACACATAAAAAACCAAATGGCAAAATGTAGATTAATAAAACAGATCAATTAAAGTTATAAGAGCTAGTTGGGAACAAACCTAAGCTGAAGCTGTGAATTTGGGGGAGCTGGAGGTCCCAAAGAAAGTCAAACTTTCAATTGGTGCCCCAAATGATGCAAGTATAATCAACACAGGTTGGATAAAGCAAAGAAAAAAAAAATAACCAGTTTCTCATGCAGTCTCTATGTCTTCTTTAAGAAGCCCTGCTGTTCAGTCTAGCACTTGAGCAATCAATGCATTAGTCAGCATACAGTACCTAGATTCTTTGTGTGCTTTCCATCTTCACATGGCTTTTTTATTATTGTATTTCTTTTATTTTTATTTTTTGAGACAGGGTTTCTCTGTGTAACTTTGGCCCTCCTGGAATTTACTCTGTACACCACGTTTACTTTAAAATCACAAAGATCCACTTGCCTCTGCCTCCTGAGTGCTAGAATTAAAGGTGTGTGCTATCACACCCAGCTAGTCTCTCCAGCTGCTCATACACATCACTGAATTGTTAGCAGCACTTTTTAAAAGCTCAGCTAGCTTAGTCAGTAGATCATGAGACTTTTAATCTCAGGGTCATGGGTTCGAGCCCCATGTTGGGTGCCATTTTATTATGAGCAGGTTTTCCTTCCATCTTGGTCCCACAGCTGCATCAGCCCCAAATAACACACAGAGATGCTGTATTAGATATATTGCTGTTGGCCTGCTTCTAGCATTTCTTATTGGCTAGCTCTGTCTTAAATATTAACCCATTTCTATTGATCTAAGTATTTCCATGTGGTCTTATCTTACCAGAGAGAGGTCTTATCTTACCAGAGTTCTCTCTTGGTCCTACATTTTGAATCTCTTACTCTTCTCCCTGAAACCTCTTGTCTTCTAGTCCTGCCTATCTTGCTTTCCTATTGGCCAACAGGGATTTACTTATTCATTAACCAATAAGAAAAACACGTTTCAGAATGACATCTTCCATCAGATCCTGGCTGGTACTTTGTGGACTTTGAATTATTTAAATGCTAATAAACAAAAAAAAAAAATATGGCAGTTTCTGAGAGACATTGGATTGTGGGGGGAAAAAAACTACTGAATAAAACTGGCCAATATATTTTAAAAATGTCTTAACTTTATAATGCAAGTCAGAATATGTGCTCCATTGGAGGAGAGGTTATGTCTTAGTTTACAGAGTAAATAAAACACTATGGATCTCTTCACAATTAATAAAGGTCAGATTTGATTGGGGGAGACCTCCTGAAAATCTTGGCTGCAGACATGAAGAAAGAAACTAAAAGAATTACAAGATAGGTTACATATAAGCTGATTCATCTACTATGGGACCAGCTCTGAGACTGGATAAGACAAGACACCAATGAAGACAGGTATCCCAGGTGATCCAGCCTCTCAGAATGCCATTGTTATAGTTCCTTAAAAATATGCATCCAGGAAGCTGCTAGCTGAGTGGGTCCAACCTTATAGACTATTCTCAACAGGACTCCAGAACTAGCTGTTACTTAAGAAGGACATGGCAAACACATTATTAAAATTATTCAATACAATTTTTATTTGAGAGTCTCAAATGAGTTACAATGTGAACATCTCCATACAAAAGGAACTACATTCTACCTTGAAAATGATGTCTTGATAAATGTCTGTATGCCTTTGGCCCAAGAATAATGCATTAAAGCATTGCCATAGTAAAATAGTTAAAAATCCATATCAAAGGGAGGAAAAATGGCTTAGTAGATGGACTACTTGCCTGCTAGGCATGAGGACCTGAATTTAGATTCCCAGAACCTAAGTGAAAAGTTGGGAATGACGGTACATTTCCACAGTGGGTATGATGGTGAGGTGGGAAGTGGTGATAGGAGGCCCTTTGAAGTTTGTGGGACAATTAGCATGTCCTACTTGGTGTAGTTCTAGGACAGTGGGACACACCCTGCCTCAAAAACCTGGTGGACATTTTCTGATGATAAACACCTAAGATTTTTGTTTTAGCTCTACAGGTGTGCACACACAGGCACTCTTCCTGCATTAATACACACTCATAAATGCAGTTAAAACTTCAATGATTTTTTCCTCTTATCAAAATAGCATATAGTTTATCAATACATTTTGATATTAAATAAAACATTAAACAGTACTTACATCTTGCTTAAATACTGCAAACAATTAGGTTAGTACAAAAACAAAGTGTAGGCTTTTACATTGTTAACATTTGTCATTTAATATTAGAGTACATTGTTATTAAATGCTGTTACATTATTCATCATTTTAATGTACATTTCTCTTTAATTTGCTAGTGACTCATGACTTGCAATGCACTTGATAGTTATACTGTGGAAATGATACTAGACACACACACGCACACACACACTCACACACACACTCACACACACACACACACACACACACACACACACACACTAGAGGGAATCATGAGTTTATAAATAGGTCCTAATGAAGTGTACCAACTCACAATGTTAGCAAGATATTTGGCCCAAGGACTGTGTGGGGTGACCACCAGTCTCGGGGACACAAAGCTACCTTAGGACATTACCCAAAGGAGATGAGAGATCTGAGGATGAGGAACATGTTAGTTGCCCACCAGAAGTTGACAATGACTATTAAAGAATAATGATTATTATCAGTTCTGTCCTGCTTGGTCCTGCAGTCCTTACTCCCAAATAAACACATAGAGGCTTCTATTAATTATAAACTGTTTTGCCAGAGGCTCAGGCTTCTTATTGACTAGCTCTCTCTTAATTATTAACTAATTTATATTAATTATATATTGCCATGAGTCTGTGGCTTACCTGTAATGCTCTGTCATGTTACAGCTTGGAAGGCTACATGGCATCTTCTTAGTGTCCTCCCTGTGTTACTCTTCCCAGAATTCTCCTAGTCTGGTAGGCTTGCCTATACTTCCTTCCTGGCTACATCCTGCCAATATTTATTCCAATTGATATCTTTAGACTCCAGCCCTGGTTACAGGTGGAATTGTGGGAGCACTTAAAGGCATTTTCCTATTTTCAGTTGAATATATTTTCAAAACATTAAGAAGATTATTTTAATCACAAGTACTTGATCAAGTACTTGATGAATAGCCACTTTGGGTTGTTGAGTAATGAGTATATATCTTGATAAATATGAAGAAATGGGATTTTCCATCTTGTTTACTTAACTAATATGAAGTTTTCCTTTTGCTAACTTATACCAAGTCCCTGAGCTTTGCTAGCTGACACCTATTTTTGAAAGAAGTAACTATATATTATAATTACAAAATAATGTGTGTTCCCTCATATAAGAATCCTCACCTTGCCTCTTCTGTTTCATACATTTTACTTGAAGTACATGTGGAAGCCAGGAAGTCAGAAGAGTGGCGGTGGTAGTTTGAATGAGAACAGTTCCTCAGGCTCACTTGCACAAGCAGCTCCAGTTGGTGGTGATATTTTTGGGGGAGTGGTGGCATCCTTAGTAGGTACATCCTTGCCAGAATGAGTACAACACTGAGGGTAGGCTATCAGTGTTTATGGTCTTGACCTGTTGCCAGTTTGTTTCCACTGCTTACTTCATGCAATTGAAAATATAATCTCTCAGTTTCTTGTTCCAACTACCCACTGCAATGTTTCCCCTGCCATTATGGAAACTGAACTCTTACTTCTATAAGTTGTTTCTGGTCATGTTTGTTTGATTGTATCATAGGAACAGAAGATTAACTAATAAAGAGTCCATTGGCTATTTTGGCTCATCAAGGGAAAGAGAGTAGTAGAATGCAACTGAAAGTAAAGGAGAGAGACTATTGGATATGGACAAGTCTAAATCTAAGCAGAGAATGGATATGGATGGAAACAAAGTATTGATTGGAAAATTTCTCTTGTGTTTGCTAGCTTTCATGGTGCTATAAAGTACTATGCCGGCAGACTGGGGAGCAAAAACTTAAATGGTCTTGTCCTTTGCTGGATTCTGAATGATACAATACTGACCTGCCAACTAAAAATAGCCCATTTATGCTATAGTTGTATGATGGTTATGGGGGTAACCAATAATATTCTGCTTGGATTCAATGTTTCCTGCATAGGAGAGAATTCATGCCTCATACTAAATGTCTGGTCAGAAGTTCAGGGTTATGGATGTTATATGGCCTAGACTAGAACTTATGTTGATGCTTTTCTAAATTCTTATGTTGTCAAATAACTTTCTAAAATTTCATTATTATACCCACAGGTTTGTGCCACCCTCAACCTTGGCCATGGAAGCTTCTTTGTGTAGTGGTCAATGGCCAATGTAGAATTGTAAGTGGTCAAAGTGCTGAGGATAAGTGAATTGGAGTGCTCAGTCTTAAACAGAAAACCTATCTCAATCCTCTTCAAAACAAATCCTCAAAAACAAAAAGTTTGAGGAATAACAGGAGTGAGGGGAGAGAAACAATGTAAGTGCTGAAGGATGAGGAAGAATTTCCTGAAATGCTTGGTTTGCATTGCAGTCATGAGCACAGAGCAGTGAAGATTCCTGCTGTGATAGAAGAGGGGCTTATAAGGCTCCATACCTAAACTGCTATGGGACAGAGCGTCATTTTCTTTGGGATGTGGTTGTTGATAGGTGGCTTGTGCTCCAATGGGTAGTATGTGGGCAGCATTAACTGTACATGTAGAGATTATATTAAAAAAAAAAAACGAAGACATGAGATTGGAATGAGGATTTATTGGGAGGTGTTCTGGGGGAATTGGGAAAGTAGAGTCAGGGATAGGTATCATAAGAATGTATTACATAAATATATAAATGTAAGATATTCCCATGTAGTAAATAAAAATATAATAAAATTGTAAAGGTTTAAGGGCATACATGCCTTTGCTCTGATTTAAATGTTAGAAGATGTGCACACATGTTGAAGGTTACCTGGTACCTCATCAGTGTGTATCATTTTTGATGTCTTCTTTTGGTAAAAATTAAATTAAAAGTTTTAAAAACAGAAATGTAGATCTATAATGTATTTATATTCAATGTTGATACTAGAAGGGAATATTCTTTATATTAATTATAAAAATTCCACATGAACCATATCCAAACAACATTTTAGTATTCTCTTTTTCATTGTGTGAAATTTTTGATAATTTTTCTGTATATTTGTTTTATTTTTCCAGTGTAATTTAAATGAATGAGCTGTATAAAATAATGGGAAACATTTAGTTTAGTTTCTCCATTTCAGTCTATCATAACCAGAGCTTTCACAGTAAACATTACAGCAGAAATTTCTCTAAGTGACTGAAATGCATTATTCAGTAAAATATTTATAAAAACCTATAAAAATAAACTTAACAGTTTTCAACTTTTGAACTGCACTTGCCATTAGATGGTTTTTAAACACAATACATGTTCATTTTGACATTAAGCTGAGATTGTAGCACTTCCATTATAATATTTATTCAGTTTATTGTTTTTACTAAAATTATAGAACTTACTACTTGTTCTGTTTCACAGCAAGGTGCCCAGGCCATTACCTTTGAACATAATTAATATGTCAGTGAACAGAAAGAAGAGGTGCCATGTGAATCATCTGCTCAGGTTCACTGCCCGATTTTTCACAATATTAACTTTATCTTATTTATTTG